CGGGTAACTCATGAAGTCATGCGTTTCCCGGAACCAAATGGGCCAATCCGTGGAGCCGTTACGTTACGTCCGCGGAGCCGTTACGTTAAGCCCCCGCTGATTGGTCCAAATTGACCAATCCACACACACACACACACACAGTGCAGGCAGCCCTGCTGATTTCTGCTCCCTGCTGCAGGCTGATAACAGACAGTTGGGATCACGGCAAAATTCTCTCTGCAGACCCATTCTCACAGCGTTTATCAACCTATAAACCTTTTTCTTACTCAATATCAAGCCACACTTATTGTTTTTATTTCGGCTGTGACTTTGTGTGTGTTCAGGTTGAGTTTGGCTGTGTTTGGCTGTGTATCGCTAAACAAGGAAATCACGGAGGGGCGATGGGGGGGGAGCTGTAGTGAGCCGTTTAGTGGAGAAAGTGAATACTGCTGAATACACATACTTTACAGAGATGCTGTATGCGAAACCAATGTGAGTTTGGAATCACAGTATTTTTCTATTTTAGTATACCTCAACAATGGCATTATGATCAGTGGAAATGGCCATGACATGTGACCTTTAAGATGATCGATGGCTATGCCATATTTGCCTCTGAACCTTGACAAGTGCATGTTTCAGGCTTATCAATGAACAACAGGAGGGGTCACAGACATAAGACCAGCTGTTAAATAAAGCTCTTCTGACCTTAGGTGTCATGTGGGTATATTAATTCACCCATTTATTAANTGCTTTTCCAGTTATTACCCATCCCCTTGTGTATTATGAAGTTTTTTCTGCATGTAAACGGTTTGCAGAGTCAAAACCCTCAAAGTACACCCTGGAGCGAGTAAAACTCTAAAACAGAAAATACCTTCGCTCCAGGGTGTACTTTGAGGGTTTTGACTCTGCAAACCGTTTACATGCAGAAAAAACTTCATAATACACAAGGGGATGGGTAATAACTGGAAAAGCATGACATGTGACCTTTAAGATAAGATAAGATATACTTTATTGATCCCAAGTGGAGAAATGTTTTTGTTACAGCAGCATACTACTTTGTTCTACTCCACTACAATTCAGAGGTTAACCTGGTATTTTTACTCCACTACATTTATTTTAGTTACTTTGCAGATTCTGATTAATGATGTGACATATAAACAAAACTTAAATCAGACTTTAGTTACACCTGAGTGAAATTCAGGGAAGGTGATTGTCAAGTAAACTCTGCAATATATTGGACGTTAAGTACTTTGTCAGACTTAATATATTTATCTGTGGATAACCCCAACGTTTTTTTCTTATTCAAAAGAAGACCTTAACTTAAAGTACTCTTTAATGTTTGAATAAAGCCTTATTAGTTTGTCTGTTTTGCACATCCTCCTGTTAATATCTTTGGACGTCCTGCACTAAACTGTTTTATTGTTGAGATCACTACAGTATCTTCTTGATATTTTCTATTCTATATTTCTATCATGCCTTCTACTTTCCCCCAATTTTGTATGTAGGCTACTCTTAATATTTAAATGTTTTCATCAAATAAAACGTATTCAACAACAACATTCAATAACGTGCTTTAACCACTAGGCGGTGCGGGTTAAAAAACCAGTGGTGTAGTTAATAAAACATAATAATATCAAACATAATATGACTATTAACTTTATTTTGAAATCAAAACAGAACGGTAAAGGAAAATACAGCCTCTCGATTTGAAGCTTATCCATTGTACCATGAACCTGTATAGACCTGTAACAGTCAACTGCATGAGGAGTTGGAAAGGTAGTTCAGTAAATAATATCTTTAAAAACTACAAAGAAATCCCCCAATTGGATCAAATATAAAAGTCAGCCGAATTAGTGTTGATACTGCAGGAGATGTATTGTGTGAAAAGAAATGGAAGATGTTGTTTAATTGCTAATATATTTATGATCCACGTCACATATTCAGTTTTGGCGGCATTTCTTACAGTTTGTCAAAAGGTCTTCTGATCAGGGCTCTATAAATAAATATCTACGGCAGATATGTAATATTTAATGCAGCCGAACCGTGTATTACAATGCCGTTATGTGATGACTTCCAAAGAGAAAAGCAAGAACACTCGGAATAAAGTATTCTTTTATTTAAAAAAAAATGTTTCTCGGATTTCACATCGCATAAACACCATATCCCTACATGCATTGCGGCTAAAACAATCGATGTTTTAGCCTATCAAAACCTCTGAAAAAAGAAAGGTATCTCTCAGAATCAAAAGAGAAAAACCTATGGGAAAAACCCAAAAGCATTGTACACAATTTAAACCAATAAATGTTGTATAATTAACAAGGATAAACTGATGTTTTTTAGTGGTTGAGTACTGAAGATATCACTGTTAAATCATTTGATCATTGGTTTTATTATGAAAACGTTGAGACCGGAAATACTGTTTTCAACCCGTAAATTTACATGGAGGCTGCCGCATACCTCAAATCATCTTTGTAATATCTTGAACAAACGACATATTTGGTCGTAATAAGGGCCTGAACAATCGGCCCATTTGGTCGTACGAATTGGAGGACTTCAACACGTGTATTTCGGTTTTATTCACGGCATTCATTTTGTTATTCTACAGTATTGTTGTTTTATAGTTATTTGTTAATGTATACAACCCAATTTGTGTTCTTTGAAATTGAAAAGGATATCGCATTGTGTTTGTTACTTTCGTTGCAGTTGTATATGTCTCAAGTGTAATTTGGCTTGGCTTCCTATTTTTTATGGACATGCTTTTATTTTGAAGGAGAATTAGCGCAGTTGACAGGAAGTTGTTGTTGCTATGGAAACAATGTGACGGAGATTAACGGAGAAAAGTCATATCTACATATAAAGACAGAGAACGTAAACGATAACGTTTATGGTTAAGTGTTAGGATCCCCCGAAGAGGCACAAGCTCTTACGTTGAGATTGGATATTTCAATAAATTCCATTTGGTAGCCGCAGTGCAAACGGATATTCGGATATTCGGGTAGTCTACAGCCCTAGAAAATATACATATTTCAGTAGAAAAGACATATCTATATATATATATTTGAATACAGTGTGTTATGAGTTTGTTAGACATCCCATTCTAAAACCATATAAATAACAATGGCCCTCTTCTGGGAAGGTTTTTCACAAGCTGTAGGATTTGGTCGGTGTTCATTTGTACCATTTATCATTAGCTTTTGGAAGGTTAGTCACTGATTTTTTTCTAGAAGGCATGGCACGCAATGTACGTTTTTAAAACCTCCCAAAGGTGGTTTAATTTAAAAACTGAATATAATGCCCCTAATGTAGTCATGAATGCTGCATCAATCATCACTGGATTCAAATCAAGCTTTTCTAAAAACACGAGTGTCATGTCACACATCCTGTTGTCTGATCCTTCAGATGCTCTCATGGGAACATTTCACTTAGATTTGTGTACCTCCTTCAATTTGAATGACAGCATGGCGGCACAATTATGTATGAAAAGGAAAGACAGAGGGCAACAAAAAGCTATTTCAAAGCTTGCAAAAACCTGTGGGAATAACATCGCCTGCATCTATATCTGCGTCTGCATTTACTTTGATTATTATAAATAAGAAACCTCACAGAGCTTTGCAAATGACTCCCTTACATTTCCAAAAAACACTTTGAATGTTTTAAGCGTTTTCAAAAAAAGTTTTTATTGGGGTTGGTTGTATATTTTGGTATTTTAATATTTCAGTATTTCAGTCAACCTACCTTCCCATGAGCGTATGAATAGCACAGTTCCTCCATGTTTATTCCCCTCCTGCTTCCCCTCTACTGCGGGAGAATTGGGTTTTGTTTTCAATAGATGCAGAATCTAGAGCATGTCATTTCACACGTCCTCTTGATTTATATTTTAATATAACTGTTAGGTAATTACATTACACACTTGCTTCCCACTGCCATGCTTCTGCAATAAAAGTGTGTGTTTTTCTGAGGCTGTTCACACACCAAGCACCAGAGGGTTGGAGTGTTGCGGCCTGTGTGCTCTTATGTGCTTTGGCTAAAATGTATACAAATACAGAAAATAGGTTTATCTTATTCTTCCTACGCCAGTGCAACCACACTTTTTATATACAGCATAGCATCTGTGAACAATCTGAATGTATGTCCTTTTCAATCTGTTGTGGCTTTGGTTTGGAGAGAAGTTGGTACAACCTCAACTGTCAGTCCTGTTGCTGACATATAAACAGCCATATTCTCTAACATGTTTGCACCATAGACTCTATATAAGAAGTTTAAATAGTTACCGTGACATCACCCATTTGGTTTGTCAATTAATGTTTTGAAGACTAGAGTTTGGCTTTTTAGTTGGCACCTTTTATAAACCAAGAAAACATGTTTCCGATTATTCCAACACAACATTAATGCAGCTCAAAAGCCTTTCTGCCAATGTTCATTCAAGTGAAACATCATATGTCTTATTTGCTCCAAAAGGGTAATTTATAAATAAAGAACTGGCCAGTATTATTCTTTGCCGTCTTGGTTTTGCCGTCTTGGTTTAAAACAACCCAAGCATGACCTGCTTGGCTGATACAAAGTACTTTCTAAAGCAAACAACAAACAGAGCTTGTTCTTAGAGTGTCTTTTAGTACAACTGAAAGCTGCACATTTAATGAGCAACGCTGTGGTGGCAACTCACAAGTTAACCACGCCCTTATATACACTGCTTTATCATGTTTTTTACTCAAAATCTGACCCTCATTTAAAAATGACAAGGCTAACATCATGCCACTTAAAGAATACTTTAACCTAGCCCTTCAGAACATTCTCTTCTTAAGAACATGTTTACTGAAGTAACAAATCAAGTGAGAAGTAACATTGTCTCATAAACTCGCCCACTGCTGATCATTAGAGAGAGAGCTGGTTTTAGGGACTTCTGCATTATATTTTCTCTTCAGGCTCAGGGGGTTGCCACCATCAAAACAAAGAATGCTCACTTAGGTGCTGACATTTGGAGGAACTCAAGTTGAACCCTTTCTCTTTTCTCTTACATCCAGGATCCCGCCCCAGGTTAGAAGATGCCGCTCCCCGGATCGTGGAACACCCGTCTGATCTCATCGTGTCTAAGGGCGAACCGGCCACCCTCAACTGTAAGGCGGAGGGCCGGCCCACTCCAATGGTGGAATGGTACAAAGATGGCGAGCGGGTTGAGACGGATCGAGAGGACCCTCGATCCCACCGGATGCTCTTACCCAGCGGCTCCCTCTTCTTCCTGAGAATTGTTCACGGGAGGCGGAGCAAACCTGATGAAGGTCTCTATGTTTGTGTGGCCCGAAACTACCTGGGAGAGGCAGTCAGTCGCAACGCATCGCTGGAGGTGGCAAGTAAGTCAGAGAACCTCACACACACGGAACAAAAAGGAACTGTGTGTAGGTGTCATGATATTCCACACTCTGGTGGCACATTGGTAGCACTTTTTTCCCCCTACAGTGCCTCAGGTACTGAAAGCTCATGAATAATGGCATCCTGTTGTCCCGGGGATAATAGATAATGTGTTTGGGATGAGCTAAATTCTCGCCAGGGGGATTTTTTACCCCCTAAAATGCTAGATTATGAACAACATATTCATTTTGAAATTGGCAAAAGGAGCGCTGGTTACTTAGCCACCGGTGGCTTGGCTAAATAACTGAGCTCATTGCTAATGTTGCCGAACTGAGGTTCCATTGAGATACATTATGATGAGTTCAATCTCTACTCAGTGAAAATGAGTTTGGGTGAAGGAAAATGATAGCGTCATGAACAAACAAACAATGAAATAGATAATATAGAGCCATTTTCTAATCTTATGAAAAACGTGCAGACAGTTATTATGAAGTTAATGTGTGCTAGTGACATCCCTGTGTAGTGGAATACAAGCGTGTGGCGCAGTGGACTAGTGCGTTGGCTTTCAGATCAGGGGAGCACAGGTTCAAACCCCACTGCAGTCAGCATGTTGTTGTGTCCCTGAGACACTTCACCCCAAATAGCTCCTGTGGGGATTGCCCACAGTATTGAGTATGTAAGTCGCTTTGGTGTCAGATCTCCTGGCAGCTTGCACTCAAGATCCACCCCCCACCCTCCTTTCTGGCCTCCAACACTTCATCCTACCTCCTCCCCAGCCTCATTCCCAACATCCTCCCCAACATCCTCCCTAGCCTCAGAACCGGCCTCTGAACCGGCCACTGAACCGGCTTCTGAACCAGCCTCTGAACCGGGTCTGTTTCTATGGGAAGACGACAGCGAGCTCCTCTAAACAGATAAGAGTTGTCGCCACTGGACAGGAAGGCTAAAACAAATCCTCTTCAGGGAGGGGAAGGAAAGGCCACAGTTAGCTGGCAGCTTCTCTGGAGCAGATGTTACTAACTTAAAATACAAAAAGCTCCCGTCAGATGGCTGTCCAACGGACATTTGGTATTTTTTTCACTGCATAACGAAGCTGCTTTTGATCAGCAGCACTTTAATGAAATGCAGATAGGGCCATCTCAAGCTTTAATGTAAGAAAATAACCATAAAGTATCCTCTAGCTTTGTTTTGACAGCAGCAGGTAATTAATAAATGGAGACAGTTTGTATGAATTAAAATATAAAGATGAGTTTATTTATTTATTGCTGTTAAAAATTAACTTCTGACTTCTTTCACAATAGAAAACTAATGAATGATAGATATCATTGACAGTGATTGAATGTACTGATCATTATGTGATATTGACAGCCTTCTCACAGAAAGAAAACGTGCCTTTGTTATCCTTATATAACCTAAACAAAATAACTTTAAACGGCATGCTTTGAGCGGTTTTGCAGAGACACCAGTGAAGTTTTAAATAATTCCTCTAACCCCTGAATCTTGCCTCTCCCGATTTAATCTAATATTTAAAAATAGAGAATAACTCAAACCTGCGGAAACCGGTAAAAGAAACTCCACTCCAAATAAAAATGTGTGAAACTCCAGAGTCAAACACCTTACAGCCGGCATCATATTTCCCTGAAAGGCTGCAGCCCTTCATTTAATAATCCATCTGAATGCCCCCTGGG